ATAATAATCTTATCTTTAAATAATAAGCCTTTAAATAATAATATTTAGGCGCCACTGTCGGAATTTCCAAAAAGTTCCCCATTTCAGCAAAAAAAGGGTCCTAACCAGTAGATTTTTTTAGTCTTGTCTCGCATGTAAATACGGCGTAATTAAAAAGGAGCGAAGTGAAAAAGCTTGTATAAGTTTCAACTTAAGTGAAAATATAAATGCGAGGGCTTTTTAACACATAAATATTCATATTTCGGAGGAAAAAGACTTTTCTTTCCCTCTCGCAAAGTAAGGCAGGCATATTATGTCATTCCCTACTAGTTCAATATTGCTGGTTTTCATCAAATGAAAATCTACTTCAATTATATCCCACGAGAGGATTATAAAACACAATCGAACCGGAATCAATACTATACGTGGGCATTTTATACAAATTTCGAGCCGCTTCATAAACAATGTAATCAACAATAAAATTAACTATACTTGACGCGTTTGGAAGACGGAGTAATAAACACATTAATCAGCCGAAGTCCACCCGGGGTGTAAACGAGTCGCCGATATCACTCACTCCCCATTGGCCGGCCTAAAAGTTGATACTCTGTGAATGGTTTTGAGTAATTGTAGGCGATGTGCGAAATTTCTATCGATCGAATCGATCATTGTACAGGATTTTGCCGTACAGGGGTAGGGATATTTTGGAACCGCCTGACATTTTTATTACTCCGTCTTCCAAACGCGCCAAGTATAGAAGCCAATTTGGATCCGACCGAAATAATAACGCGCAATTTTCCAGACAACTAAAATGTATGTTCAAAAGGGGCCAGGGCTCGAACCTCTCGTTCGCGGCGGTATAAAAGGCAAGAGTGCGGTTTTACTAGGGAGATAGTACAGCAGACAAGATGTATGGAGCAGCTCCAAGGCGGCGTGAGGTGATAGATAACCGGCGTTCAACCGGCGAAAGAATGAACAGCCGTATTGCGATCGAATGCGTGCGGGGAAATGGGAAAACCACCGGAGAAAATGGGATTTTTTTAAGTTTAGAAATTGATATAAGGGGTCACACTAGACCTCAGAAGAGTTTAAGATAAAAATTTTTAAGGTAGGTACATCATATATTAACGTTAGAATATCATTCGTGTTTATACAAATCAACTCAGCGTTTTAAATTGAATAAGAACAAATAAGAACAGTTACAATATTAATGAAGCCTTTTGGTGGTATATTTTATCAGCGTAGGTGTACGCAAAATCGTCCTGTATAGATGGAACGGCAGGAGAAACGCTCTCAGCAAACGAAAATTTCAACAAACTCCTAATGACTTCAGGAGAAATAAATAATTTGAGACCCTCGAGTCGTTATCTCGGATCTGGGACAAAGTAGAAACAAAGTAGAAAAAGCGGCGTCGGACGGAGAGGGCGAACGCTGGCGAAAAGGAGACGGAACGAAGAAGGAGAACGCCCGGCTGCCGAGACTGTCGGACAAAGACGGCTTCTTTTTGTATAATGACATTTTCATATTAATGACTACAGCAAAATGGCGAAACTTACGTCACTTCCTTTCATTGGTCGGGCGTCTTCGTTTTCATTTTAATTCCTTTTCTTTGCAGAGCAAGAGGTGGCTCGGGCTGGAACTCCTGCTCGCAAAACTCGGAATAAAAATAATAAGAAAACTTTAGTTTCATTCATATTTACCTAACCGACTGCAAATAGAATTTATGAATAGTGAATAGGTGCGCTCCCCCATTTGGTGCACATAGCGTCCCATTCAAGTTTTTCCATTAAACGCAACAGTTAGCAGGAAATCTTTTCACGTTCATCCTCCGCGAATATTTCAGGATTCCGAATGTCCTCTCTCTCGACTAATGAAAAGAAAACTCGATAAAATTGTTAGCCGGAGCTCTCGGGGGTGCGGTTTTAAAAACACATGTACCACGTGATTCGAATGCAAATGCGATGACGGTGTTTATCAAGTTGAACGTTGCTCGCTCCGTCCGCTCCTCCTTTTGTTCCGGCTCATTTACCTCTTCTTCGCCTTCCTCTTCATTTGTTGCGGCGCTGTCCTGTCTTTTGTTTATGGGAGTTCGCCCAACAAGACGCCGTGAAATAATAAAATTTATAAAACGTTTTCGTGTACCGGCTATAATATACCTACCTATTTACTTGGAGAGCGAAACAGGATTCTGATGCCCGGGATAACAAAATTTAGCTTCGGGATCCATGAAACGATATTTTCCACCTATTCAAACTTGCCTCTACATTATAGAAACAGGATACTATAAGAGGAGATATTATAAAAATAATTTAACAGGTGATTGAAATAGCTAAATAATGTTATCCTAAATATCCACCCTATTATCCTTTGATTAATCAAGTAAAATACTATTTCTCTAACGTTCACATTTCATTCTACACATCGTAAAACATTTTTTTTTATTTTATCATTAAAATAATCACCAATTTTTTACGCACCAAGAAGGTCCTTCCTATTATCCCGAGCATAAAGAACGCATTCAGTATTTATCCTGCATACGTGTCTCCGCCGTCTACCGACCGATTTAGAACGATAATATTATTACGACAATATGCCCTCGGGTTTCGGGAAAGGGACTCCGCGTTTCAATGCGAAAAGGGCTTCCTCGTTTCTTCGCCGGACAGGAGACTTATGCGCCTGGACATTCGTTTGAAAAGGGGTCGAAACTGGTCAAACCAGTATGATATGTAAATTTCTTCGATTGTCGGTCATTACTATTACTACACGAAAGCTTCATGGGAAATTCGCGTAACGGTCAAAATCCTCGTATGGGACCCTCTTTTTTCCATACGACCCGTACACGGTATGTACTTCAAATTTTGTATTATAATTTAGATCAAATATAACGGTAAGGTGAATTTAAAATTATTAAAAACTCAGAAGAATGATTAGAAATATATTGTTTTATTTTATAATACTTACACCATTTAGAGTAATATTGTATGTATGTTTTTTAGTGAATAATCCTGCTAAATTGCAGTATACAATCGAGTTGCAATTATTCAATCATAATGAACAGTTTTTGGTGCTAACGGGGATAAATTACTCAAACCTAATGGTTCGACTAATCCTCTCAATTCAGCGTCGACCACGTCCCGTCGGTCCAAATCGAGCGTCCACACATGTCCATCTTCCTCCATTCACAAAAGTCCCGCAGCCGAGAGAGCGGTCAAACCTGTTTGGACTGAAAAAAAAAACGCACGAAATCGCTGCCACCGTTGACGACGTTCGGAGGGTCAGTTATTCAAGTTGAAGGGTGCAAGGGTGTTCGAACGAATAGTCCATGACCCTATTCAGATATTGACCATTGGCCAGATGTTCGGCTATTTGCGTTTACCTCGCACCACCGCTGGATGTGATGGAGAAGATCCGATACTAAATCCTCTAATTTAATACTTAATTCTGATTTACTTAGTTAATTTACTGAACTTTTTTTTGCTTCATAATCACACTGTAGGTATGTAAATGGAGCGGGTACAAACAGTTGGTAGGTATTACAAAATTTAGAATTTTAAATTTCTTATAGAATTAAAGTATAAAAGTTGCACCCGGTATGATCAAATCGCGCGATTTGGAATAAATTAGCGAGAGTCAAGTTTCGCGGAAAGTAACCTTTTCGAAATGCAAGAAGGGAACGAAATGCATAATACGTCAAAATTTACATACAAACGAAAACACCCTTCTTAAAATTTAACCCTCTACTTTAATGTTAATGTCACTTTGTATCGCGTTTCTTATATATTCATCAAGGGACTTTATTAGTTTGAATTTTAAGGAAAACCCACTACGGGTGGCCTTTCGTCTCTCTTTTCCTTCCCTTTCGCGCTTAAATCAGCCCATCTTTCTTCGTTGTTACTGCAAATGATACGGAAGCATTTTTCCCCAGTGTCACATTTTGCGAGAGACTTAAATTCTACGTAGCAGCTTAGGCCGGGGCAAAGGAAAAATGAATTTATATTAAAGTTAGGGCGTTCAACCGTCCTTTGCGCTCCCGCAACCCAACAACGTGCACCAGACGAAGACGAAACGATCCACATAGAAGTACGTCATTATCGTTAACGACCAAAACAAAACACTCGCGTTTTCTTTGCACAGAGCCATCTTGTTTTTGCTTCACTTGGCTGATTTAATGAGACGCGTTTTATTTTGTTTTTCGTGTTACTCGTCTAGGCATGCCGGCGTCTCCCTGCGCACTTTTATGCATTAAAAAGGCATCGTTACCTATCGACTTTCACTTTGTTTCTTCGAAATAAAAAAACCACCTAATCTAATAAGCCCATTCGATGACAGGTGGTACATATATTAGTAGATCTAACATTTTTTTTGTGCGTGTGTACGCTCCGCAACATCCCTACGAGCAGGTAGATCATTCATCGCCTCTTTGAGAGGAATCACCGACGGAAAGGGTTGCGCTTTCACAACGAGACAAGTGGGTTTTTTTGTCACCTTTACCATTCTTATTGTTATTCGATACCTACTGGTTTAATCTCCCGAAGAAGATAATAATAGCTTGTAAGAAAGGAGAAAAGTGTGTTGTATGCATGCATATGTAGTTTATAGAAAAGTTGCATTTTTATTAAATTAACATATTGTCTAAAATGATAAACTAAAAGCTAAAACCAATATTTTAGGAAAAATAATTTAATCATTTATATATTTGGTTTGTGTTTTTAGTACTGCAATAAGTATATCGACTCGAATCTGCAAAATTCTCCTAAATGGATTTTCATTAGTTATAAGACAAGTACACAATACGCACGAGTTTCTGTAGCTCAAAATTACAAATTACTGCTAATTTATATTAAAAAAAAAACAGTTAGCAATATATCAATATTCTATTTTCAGATAAGTGTTTGCATGTACTTACATCAACTAATAGAAAGATAAATTGATAGTTAGATATTTATAGATATATAGATTTTTTTAGATAGATTCCATTGATAGATAGATAAATATTTGCATGTATATCAACTTATGTAAGCATGGTGAGCGAGTATCCCATACGAAATTCCGACGAAAAACTTCCAGGTAAGGACACTACTTTCATTAAGGACGAAATCAAACAGATCGTCGACCATTCCCACGTATATCCCATTATACACAAAGGCTTAATATATGTGACCACGTTAACCCTTCGGACCGGAAGGCCCGCCGAAAAAGGGTCGAAAAATTATAAAAATGACCATCTTTTGATTCGAATAAAAATCAAAACAAGTTTGACCAGTTCGGAATGACCGGTCTTGAAGTAACCCTTAACCCCTTCCACGGTCTAGGGTTGATGCCCAGGGTGGGATTCGACCTAAATTCGTTCCATTCTTATATCTTCCTGTACACAAATTAATAATAAAATGTATACTTAAAAACTAAATACAAAGCTCATCATACTTGTTAATTAACAGAATATACCAAAACACTATTATCCATTAAATGATTTCATAACTCTACTTTTTAATATACCTACTTTAAATATTTTCTAAATTTACTAATTCATTAAAGAACATAATTTTACAATCCTCACAATACCAAAAAGAATAGTACCACCAAGAAGTAGGTACGTCCCAAAAACTTTATATTTTGTTACTAGTAGTTAGGGGTGGTTAATTTTAGGGGATACAACCCTGCGTTCGATTTGTGCAGTGAAGCCGCTGTCGCTCATAGGTGGTAAAAAGTGAAAAGGTAAAAGTGTTGACCCTTTCTTACGATATTTTTATTACGAGTTCAACAGCTGTTGTAAACATATCTGGCGACTAGTACAAAAATGTGAGGCGAAGTGTCGTGGTGCTATAGTGCAAAATCGGAATTAATAGTTGAAATGCGTGACGCGAGTAAGTGTAAAAATTGTTGCTAATTAGCCAAACATCAGGAATACCTACATGTTTAAGCGCTCTCGATATTATGACTGCAGGAAAACGAAATGTGCCAGAACAACATTCGAAATCAAACCGTGCCAGAGCTCGTTCAAGAAAATTGGTAATTAATTTTCAAAGAAAATCAACGATGACTTGTGCAAAAGCGAAAACGACGACGAAAAATACGTTGTTTGCATACTCATCAACCTTATTTTGAATGAAAATTCGACCTATTTTCATTAATAAAAACGCTTTAAATTGCATAAAACAGTTTTCGTAAAGTTCGACGTATAACACAACTGCTTAAATTAAACTATTCAACATAAAAAATATCAAAGTTGTTTATAAAATTAAATTATAAAAAATGTTTGGAAATTTCCAATTTTATTGAGGAACGCAACAACTCGCTGTTATAGAACCTCCTGTAGAATTTTATTGCATAGTTACGTGTAGTTAACACGATTTGTTTTTCATTCGGAGGAATAATATTAAATTTTCTTAAACCTTCCCCTTTAATCATCCAGCATTCACCTTAGAGTAATTAAAGGAGGAATGAAAAGAGCGCTCAATTCTTGAAATAATTCTAAGCGGGGACGGCTAGCCAAAAAATGAGCCCCCTATTGAATAACCCGTAATTTTCTTGAAGGTAACTCCAACTAATAAAAACAATTTAAAACATTCAAATAGAAAGTAGGGAATATTATAAAAGACTTTTGTAATGAATCAATAATTTCGCTCGTTTTTTTTCAAAGTAAATCGCATATAAAATTTATTGACGAACTTTTGCGTTACCTTTTCATTGCGAATCCACTGCCATTCGACGACTCGAAACATCGTGAAGGGTAGCCATCTTAGATCCCCTCTTTTTCAGACATTAATTTCGTTCCCTTTGTCTTTAATTTCTGTTTTAATTCCATGGTCGCTTCTACTTTTTACCCTCTTATTTCACCCTCGCTGTGTTTCGTTTTTAACCACCCTCAACCGCCCACGGACCCAACCCCCAGCGCGCCGACTTCACTCCGCTCTCTCCGACCCCTTTTTGTCCCTTTTCCGTTATCTCCTTTACAAATTCGTTACGATTCCTGAAAATTAAGAAACGAATTTCTTCTGGAATTTCATTATGGGCCTTTGGGATGTGAAAGAGAGGAATTTCGGATCGTTAATTTCTTATATTAAGCACTTGGTAAATTGCTTTTTTTTCGTACTTCCTACGTAGAGAATATGAGATTTTTTTTTCTATTTAGTGAAGTTGGAGTAGTAAAATTGGTTGAAGTTCCGTCTGCTCTCGAGCGAACTTCTTAAATCATTTTGACCCATAGTTTTCGGTTAACAAAGACTTGACTTCTATTTATTTAGATTTCTCTGGAGATTTTATGGAAATAGTTCTTCCCTGCCGCTGGAGAATTTCTAGAAAATTAAAGCGATTTTGTACGTTTTCTCTCTTTAGTGTATTTTTGTAAGGTCGAGAAGTTTCATTTTGTCTCTTTAGTATGTTGAATTGGGCATCATTTTATTTTAATCAATACTTCGGTAAAATTCTGGTTACTGTGGATATCTAATATAGCTTTAATTTATTTGTCCATTCTGTGTTTCATTCGGAAAATCGATATTATAATTATGAAAATTAACTCGATAAAATGGAGCTTTGTAATGCATTTTGATGACTATACCTATATCAACCTAATACTCAATCATATTTTATACCTATTTCAAATAATTATGCGGAAAATCAATTAAAACCGCCGAACTTATGGATTTTACATATTATATGTACTTTAAATTGATGTGGTGCAGAATACAAGATATTGATACATTGTCATTGTTATTTTTTCGTTAATTTAAAAATTTCTATTTAAATTTTAGTGTAAAATATTCGAATTTTTGAGAAACGCGTCGGGCACGTTTTGCATTAATGAAATGTTTTTGTCATCCGTCCTGATGTGTATTTAGGAATTAACTTTGTCATCAATTAAATCGAGTTAAAATATTTGATACAATTTGTCGAAAAGCGTTAGCGAAAATTTAATTAATTTCGAACGAATGCAGTCGGTTAATTTCATATGAAAAATTACGACTGCATGATACACCCATTTGTCGCAAATTCGATTTGTAATTCTGACGGATCAGTTAAAAATTAAATATTGTTTTTCATCACTGCTATTTTAATAAAAGATGTCATGCAAACCAATATTTTCACCATTCAGAATTCGTTATTAAGAAATGGAATAAAAAAATATATTTTCAAGTATACCTACTAAAATAAGTTTCCAACAATAATTGTAGGTACATGAGAAAGACATTAATTAAGTAATTACAACTTACTAATAAATTTACTGCTACACACCGTAATTAAACTGTCTGATCATTTTTTATACTTTTTATTTGTACACAAAATCAATAATGAGCCACCGAAAAAATTCAATGCAACTAAAAGATGAGAAATGACCAGTTAATTAAATATCGACTGCATATGGTGGATACATGTAATTATTGATGAAGAAACGATAGAAGACGAAAAAAATCAATAATCCCATATTCCCCATATGGCCGCCGGAAAGGTCGCTTTTTTCATTGAAAGTGATTCTTATCGTGTAAAGCGTGACCCAATTCATATAATTTAGAAATTCTTGTTCGAGACAAAAAAATTAATAATACTTTCATAAACCCATTAAACAAAAGCTTATAATTATTTATTTAAGGAGAGTTTTAAGAAACTTTATTGAATAAAAGTATAAAATACATACATGCTGACATGAGCTGAAGAAAGAATTTACATATGAGTATTTTTTGTTCATATTTAATTGTTATTGATAGAATGTAGGTTGTTTAATTAGTAGATAAATTAGAACATAAATGTTTTAGGTTTGACAATGTTTACTATAATTGTTACTATGTATTTATGTGAAGGAGTCTCGGTTGATTTTATGAGTCCTTATTGAAACACTTACGAATGTATTCAAATATTTTACAAATTCAGCAGCAAATCGAATACGTTTCAGTACAAAAGGGCCAACAACTGCTCGACGACGGAGGGACACGAAAAGAACTGAGGGGAGAATAAATATAAGGAAGAAAGAGAAAGGACAATGACAGATTCGCGAGTGTTTTAATTAGGATCTTTCTTCATTATAGCGGAGTAACGCGCTGTTTCCAAGTAATGATATCCGTACAGTCGATTCCAAAGTTTCTAATTCTGTTAAAGTTTTTATCTCTCTTCGCGGAATATTCATATTTTGTTCGCACAGCACAAATTCCAATTTTCAAACTGGAAGTGAGTTCTGCAAAGCTCTTCGTAAATACAAACACTGACGAAGTTTATGAAATTTCGTTCGGAAATAAAACGCCCAGCCCGAAAACGGGTCATTACTGACGGAACGTTCCGAATAAAAAGCCCTGTTTGCACTTTCAGTCCTTTTTCAACTTTATAATGCAATTGAACGTAAATTCTATGCCATTCGCCTCCATATTCATCATCATATTTATCATATTTATCATATTCATATTTTCGAAACTTGTTGACGTAAACTCCTCGAAATCGATGAAATAAATAGCATATATGAAAGCGGCTTATCACAAAAAACCCTGCATTCATTCCTACTTAATTCCTATTAAACCTGTTTAAAGGGTAGTATTCGTAGATACCTCTTTTTCCCTTTATATTCCCACATAATTTGAGTACCACAAAATGTACATCAAAACACGTGATATTGAGTAAAAAACCGATTTTTAAAAATCCAAAAAAAATTAAACCGTACCAGTTACAAAAACCAATCGCCGACCCTAACCGTGTACAACGTTCATCTAATCAAACCAGCCATAATGGACGCGAACGGCGATATCATTGCCTATCCCAATGCCACACACATGCATTTTCATTCAAGCCTTCGACGGGGGCTGAAAGTGTGCGAAACGCTTCCGAGGGTGCAAGTCGTAGGTTGTAGCAGGAATCATGTGTGAGATAAACTGCGAGAGGCGTACAGAACGGTTGGTAGGGAACATCCATACGCGTATGAAATACACACACACACGCATCAAACATCACGACTAATCGTGATAACGAGTCGAAATACCCCCATTATGTTTTATTTGATCGAGCCGTGTATAGGTGCGCTCAATTTCGAATTTTTAACTTTGTTTTTTTAGTTAATGAGTCTTTCGATGATTTATTGAATGATTTTATTAAACCCCACGAGATTATTGAGTGGAATTTAGGGTGTGTTGTAAAAGCGTTGGTGGAGTTTTCTTAGAGGGAGGATTACGGTGAGTTTTAATGCGTCTAGAGAGACATTAGCAACGCGACGTAAAAACTCCGTTATATACCATTAAAAATCGATAAAACGCAAATGGCGTTCTTAAAACACCCCCCGCGCGCGATATAATTTATAAAATGTATTCACCCCTTTTCGGAGGAAAGCCGGAGAAAATGTCCGCCTCACTAGAAAATCCATCAAGACTAGCAATTAACTCGAATTCAAATTTTATTCATTATAAATTACCAACGTATAAAACGAGCTTCTTTGAGCCGGAGGAAGAAACGCCAATTTAAAGTTTCTCGCCGCTGTTTTATTACTCGCCATCCTTTGCCTCGATTTTCTTTCTTCAACGCCGAGACGGTACCGCGGCAACGAGATAAGGGCGGAATTCGAGCCTGATCTAATTAGAAACTTTCCGGAAAAAAATTTAATTTACGTTTCGCGAATTTAAAATTTATTAATTTTATTATGCGCGCAAAATTTACGGTTTTTTCGCTCGCTGGAATGTAGTCGTTACTGTCGTATAGTCGTTACGTCGCGACGCCTCGGGTTTGCGGCGTCGTTATTTAACCTCGACCACAACTCTACCTTCACTTGCACCGCTGGTGTCTTTACGCTTCACTTTATTCGTTTAACATATAAACTTTGAATATTCAGAGGTACATTTTTGGATAACGGAAGAAATTTTTATACCAGCTTTAGCCACACATTACACCTTCATTAATATTACCCTTGCAAGATTTTAATGTTGTACAATGCTGATAACAAAAGATTTAGCAATTCAGTTTAAACAATCATAATGAAACTTTCTGTATAAATACAAAACTAATGTCCAATTCAATATGTAATCGTGCCCAATATTCAAAAAGTTGGGCAATGCAAAACTTAGAGAGCTGATCATTGACATCGCTAGAGAGCGTTTCCGAGAAGTTGGAGAAGAAGTAAACTCAATTATTATAAAGCTATAAAACATTTCGAACGGTATATTGGTTCAATTTAGATAAGTAAAGTAATATAAAGTTAAGCTGGCAATTTAAAATTCGCCTCAGGGTTGAAACTTATCCAATTGGTCCTATCTCTGATAAAACACACAGAAGTAGAAATTATTTCGAATTTAAGTGCCGTATTTCTGGAGAATTCAAACGACTTATACAATCATTTCCCTTCATAATTTATGTTGGGCGTATTTTGTTTTCCGTTCAATAAATTTTCAAGTATTTCAATTTAATAAATACTTATATTTTATATAAACAATTCCAATCATGTTCCGACCTATGATTACACCTACGTAATACAAAATCAAAATAAACAAATTGAATTATTGACGAGTCATTAATAAATCACGAATAAGTAGATTGTTTGAAAAAGAAAATGATGAAAATTGTGTGAAACGGTCCACATGCCAAAAGTTTATCGTCGATTACAAATTAAAAATTTAGATTCGTAAAGTGGAATTAAAGACCTCGCAAAGGAAAGTAATAATCAGGAATACGCCGCATTCAAATGCCGTTATTAATATAAATACTCCTTGTAGGAAAAGGGGAAAAGTATTTCCATGGAGAAAATCTGCAGGATCGGATTAAGCAACCTATAAGCAGGATTTTTTCCATTTCAACGCTCCTTACGTTCACAATCTTGATTTTAACGAATTTATTATTCAATTAAAACGATCTAGCTACGGCCATTCCATTGCAGCTGCACAGACACACGGAGTTCCAGAAGTTTCCGTAATATTTCAGGCTTGTTTAACTGAAAATATATCCCGAAGTCAAATGGAAGTTTGCAGTTTCGGGCAAAAACAAAATTACGTTTTAATTTTACCCCCGATACGCTCCGACGTCATTAAAAACGGGCACGAATAAATCCTCTGTATCTCGCCCGGCTCCCTCCTTCTCCATCGCTGCCTCCTTCCCCCCTATCGTCTTTTCTCTAATTACTTTCTGATTGCGCCATCTAAAAATGATAATAAATATTCCACACGAAAATATATACCGATTCGATATTAAATGTTGGTTTGCGTGAGGCAGTTGTACGTTATAGGGCCCCGATTTCCACAAAAACTCCTCTTAATTGCAGCAGGACTATACCGACTCAATTTCCCTCGCTGTCTTCTCTACCCTATCGCGTTATAGGTACTTGTTTATTCCATGAGGATTACATTATTCATCTTATAATATTCGTTTTGTATTTTTCCAGTGACGGACTTGTTCTATTGGACAATACAAATTCTTCCATGCATACCTGTGAGGTTTCTAAACAATTCCAGCTTATCAAAAATTATCCGAAACAAAAATAATTCTACACTCTATTCTCCATATATACTCTCTACTTTCTACTCTCTATTTTCAACTCTCTACTCTACCCATTACCCTTTCAGAATTTTTTCAGAGTTTTTTCTGAATTTTATTTTTTGTAGGTATCTCCAGTAATAAACGCTTGTGAAAAAAGAATCTCAACCATCCCGGTTCGAAGTGTCAGCTCTAATAAAATCGCTTTCTTCGTAATTTAGAATTGCGAGCAGCGCGCGGGACAATCTTTCTCAAAAGCGCACAAAGCAAACTTGAGGATTTCTAATTTTAACAAATATTCATTCATTTTAATTAAAATTTAATCAACCCCTTTGTGAGTTCGCAATTAAACTCTTTAAATAATAATTAACTTTTGCATTTTGTTCTATTTTTCTATTTGCGCCGCGCATTCGCACGTATTCGGAATCGCCAAAACGATCGATAGAACGCCGAAATATTCTAAACAAATAAATACATAATAATAAAAAAACAGGAAGGCATTAAACATTTTGATTACTGATGAGCATCAAATAATCGATGCATAATTTTTGCATGAAATTTCGAATGTAATTTTCGTATCAGACCATTAGGGATGATTTGGATGGGAAGGGGAAACAAACAGGCGATCCGGACGTTCCGCTGCAGAGGCGTGCAATAAAATCCATCTTCAAAGAAATGAGGAAAAGCAACGCGGAGAACAGTTCCCCGCGGACGCGAATCGCCATATTTGACGTCGTCATAACTGGTTGATAAGATAAGAAAGTCTTCCTAGACTTAAAGTGGGTCGTTCGGTTTAACAACGCTCGTTTTAAGATACGACTTTTGGGCGTAAAAATGTTAATAAGCAGTCGGAGGATCCTGCCGGATTTAGTTTTACTGCTTCTTTTAGAGCCTATTTCGACATTTTAACCGGTATGATTTAGGTAATTCTGTTTTAACTTAGCCCAGTACGGAAACCGGATTTTTTTATATACGCACCGACCGCGAAATTATCTTGCATCAGATCCTCGTTTAATCGAAACGCAATATTCATCCGTTTTTAATCGGATTTTGAAGCTATAGGTACTTACCTATTGGGTCGAGGTTTATTGGAATTTCTAGGTAAATGGTCCGTCCGTATTACACGACAAACGCCATCATCAAACGCAACGTGTCCGCGTCACCGGCGATTTATTTACGCCAACAAATCCATCGCATCCCATCAGTTCCTGTTGACTTATCAGCGGCCAATGGGCAACAAACTGTTGCACCCGTTACAAGACGCATCCATTTTAATTAAACCACAGGACAACCTGCAATACCTTTATCGACTCGCCTATAAATAAATTTAAGAATAAATTCAGCAGAATCTAACACCGTTGTTGCTCACCATCAAGCGCGCTTGACCGAACTTACATATACATAACTATAAAATAAAAGTGTTATAAATTAAAGAGCTAGTATAGGAGTACAACAAGCTTCCTGTAGGGAGGCATTAAAGGAAGCTGTAGCATCTCTTATTTAACCACTATAGTATACTAGTAACAATCTCCATAAAATTGCCATTCCTCACGATTCTCCTTTGTAAAGGACTTGAAGAAAAACGAAATTTATGGCACGTGTGTGTATGCATTATAAAATAAAGCAGAAATGGAATGGGTAAAACAAACAGTAAAACAACATGGGAACATTGCGCTTCCACACTTCCATCGCGAAACGGATGCGTTGTTATTGTTCCGGTCTTTAATAGCCTTATCAACGACTTGGAGTGTATACGGAATGAATTAAGAACTCTGGAGTTTTTGGGAAAACCTATAGGAGCGATGAAAATTAATCACGCAAAAGTCCCTCACTCGGACTCGGTAAAATTTGAACGCTGAAGCGAAATGGCGCCTTAAAAGCGCCGAGAAAAGTTTTCTTTATATTTAGCAAGGCAACTTCCGAACGGGCGGAGTCATTTAAAATTAAGATTAATTACGGGGCCCGTTTTTCACGACTGTGTACTTTAATTATTTCTGGCGAACCAACTTATTTAGCTATTTAACTTTAGTTCCGGAACTTTCAAAACCGTATTTCTTATTCAAACTGAAAATATGACTTCTTTTATGAGTAATTTTCAACTTTACGGGAGAGTTAATTGACTTTCCTGCATCATAAAGAGTTAGAAAGAACATTTACTTTTCAGCTTCCCTGCTTTTTCAAGCACTCGTTTCATTATAAATCCAATTTTACTGTAGGTATATAACGAAAATTCTTGAACTTATACCTCCTTCTACTTCTTATTAAATCACATCAATTTTATTGTATAGATTTAAATTACAATTTTCACATTATTATTTTAAATTTTTGTTATATTGAATTTACTTATACGATTCGATATTTATTTAATTTAATCGAATATAACGTCCACAGTCGATTCAATTAAATTCTTTCAGAATTTGACTGCGGAATTTATTTATTTAACTCGATTTAATAACAATGGTCTATTTGCATTAGAAAATTGAGGCGAAATCGACCACAGCTTTTGTTGCCAATATCTATGGCTTTATAAACAATCTAATTTGTTTCCATGGCCGGGAAATTTTGCTCCCAAATTCTCCCATTTTATTATCAACGAGTAACTAACCTCGTACGATCTACAAACGTTTTACTGTGTCATTACAATTCATGAGGCTTATTTGACTATAACCCTTTAGGTATTTCAAACTCTTATGCCAAAATTAAATAAGAGAAAGGATCTACAAAAAATATAACTTTTATGTCCTATCACTATAAGTAAACGTATGTAATATGTTAATTGTTAAATTAAGCATAAATCCTTATAAGAGGCAAATGGGATAATGTGTAGTTGATAAATTGTTTTATTCTCGATTTTCTTGTGAGTACTTACTTATTGGGGAAAATTTCTCCCCATCACAAAAGACGTTGATGAAAGTGGAAACAATTTGCTTCGTCCAACTCACCCTTACTTCCGAAGGGAAAAGAAAGGGGATTCGGTAGAGGTTTTGGGATAATCTAGAGATCTTATAAAATTCGGAAAATATTCCCTGCGCTAGTCAATGGCATTGCATTAATTCGCTCGCGTCGTGAACGCGAAAACGTCATTTCAAACCCTCTTCAGACAAGCCCTCGTCCCTTTTTTTAAACGAATGAATTTTCAGCTAAAATTGCGATTTTGTAATTTGTCAAACATTTGTGAAAAATTAACCAACCTCCGCTCGCAGCCGTTAAAATTTAATTATGATATTTTTCGACAAGTTTGCTCGGCTATTATTAGATAAGAGCAATTAATCTAAGCGAGCAACCCTTCTTACGTAAAGTCAATTAAAAATGCCACCCCCTTGCGGAACAAATAAGAAATAAGTATAAGAAATATCGACGAGCCTACGAAGTGACCTTTTCTCCCTACCCGCCCGTACAAATAAGGGTGTGTTTTCGACAACACACCTCGAGAAGGGGAAGCGAATAAAAGAACCGGATTTTTACAACGAACCCCGGAACGAATAAGGCCGAGTGAGCGCTACCTACCCTCCGCCGCTTTTTTCCGTACCTCTTTCTTGCGCAGTATCGTTATTCTTTTCTGTCCAATTACGGCATGGGTGACCGGCTGTTGGGCTGGAATTTTTAAGTCCGGCTCGCATGTTTGTGTTTTCTTATTGGTTTGAAATCGGCCGGGTAGAAAACGGGATAAAAAAGTTTGGAAAAGAGTGGGTGTACCGATTCTTTTTCGATTCAATTGGGCGCTCGTTTCACGAGTTTTCCTTTTTTTAACAATTTTTATCCGAAAAATTTTACTTTAAAAGCCGGAGCAATGCTTTTCTGTGTGCTGCCTCTTTTATTTTAATTTTGAAGAGATTATAGTTTCCTTTAATATTTCATTTATGATCTTCCATAAATTAATTCGTCGGGTGATTAAAAATCGCCCAATGTTTCTGGAGTAAATCCTCAAAATTCAGCCAGGAAATTCTCCGTTACATCGAACGGCAAAAAAGTCTAACGACGAACTTCATTTAAATCCAACACTTTAATTAAAAGCGTCTAGGAAAAGAGACTGAAAAGCAGCGATATGACCTACATATCAGTCGGCTTCATGCTCTTTCTCTTCTATTGTACCTACCCGTTATAATTAAAACTGTAATTCCTTTTTGTAGATGAGTAAAAAGTTCTCCGATAGACTTTAATTCCGCGCCATCATAGTGCAGGGATTATTATATAAGAAGAGATTTCGTACTGATGTTTTTGTGGGCTCTTTTTAACTAGATGTTTCCCTTCTGGAAATATTCGCTACAAAATTAAATATTCTAGTTAACTGCTGATATGCCTGTATATTAATGCAAAACTCAATTAAAAAAAATTAATAATTTTTTACAATCCATTTGGTGAATTTAGCAGTATAAAATAAAATTTTATATGAGATACATTGTAAAATGAAAAGCTCATTTAATTTTGTTTGCTGTCATTTTCTTATCTCTTTTATTTCCATTTACCACCGGGCTATATGTAGATGGCAAGCGCGCCTTTCTAATACTTATTATTTTATGTAAATGACCTAAAAGTAAAAAGCCATCCTCGAGCTTATTTACATAATGAGAATTTCAGTTCTGCTTTTTATTGGAGCTAAATCAAAATGGGAGTGCGCTAACCTTAATTTCTTCGTAATCCCGTCGTTAAAGCAACGCTGACGGATAAAAGTTTTGCTCTTGTTTCACCTTCTAACCAGCAAGATTTTCCCCACGGAGAAATCACAAATTTCATCAAATTTTTAACTAAGAAACATCTATAGAACAAATCGCATATTACGAACTCAACAATTTAAAAACCCAATTTTTACCTATTATTATTCAAGTTAATTTTAATCGAGTGAAAAAAATTCTTCCCGCTTCATTGCGTATGAAATTTGCATGGTAAGCGCCCGCTCATTAACAAAGCTCATTCTGTTTCCAGATTTTCATCCGGCGAAACATTTCCCCGGCAAGTTCCGGTTAATAAGAAAATCCAGAGAGCCGGAGCGCCAGCACGCGACGCAGAGGAGAGCGAGGGACGAGAAAGAACGGCCCGAAAACGAATTCTGGAAGAAAGAAAAATCAATAAATCCCATAGAAATCCATTTACAATTCAAATGTTGAAGGGACGGTTGTTGGCGGTGCTATAGTCAGGACGACAAAAGCCGAATTTTATATAATCGGAATTTATTTTACATTGTTTTTTTAGAACCTATAGAGTTATACTTGAAATTTGTTTATCTATGCGGGTAGGATTGTTTTTAAAAAAATTGTATCGAATTGCTTGAAATAAATTACATAATATTGGCGGTGTTTTATTAGTAAAACTTTATTAGTAAAAGTTTCTAAAGGTATAAGGCATTAATAAATGGAAAAAAAGTTTCAAATTTAGGGACCTCTTTAATTAGATTATTAATCTATAAGGTGAAAAATGAAGGTAATGGATATGGGCGTCCGGACTATTGAATGTACTGATAAGTCAGTGGCGAACGGGGATGCAAAGAAACGGCCAAAGAAACGGGGAAAGAAGAGAAATGGGCGGGCGCATAGCGTGACAAATTGAGACTAAGACATTTTGAGACGTCTTAATCTTAATTCTAAGATAAATTGGTCCCGGAAAATACTTTCGTTAATTAATCTAGATCAACTTATCCAGCTATCTAAGACTTGCCATTTAAATTAGATCTTCACCTTCCCCGAGGAGGAGTCTTTAGGAGGTTTTTTTCTTCTTCCGGCGTGTCGTTTCCGGGGAGAGCCGAGTGATGGATTTCTCAATTAACTGCGATTCAAGATGGGGCCCGTCGCCGCGGAAAATTTGCCTAACAAATTTATGCCTAAAAAAATTAGTTAAACTCAACCCTCAAGATGGTCACTAAACCCTGGAAAGTGTAAGGAAGTTTTATAAAAAATTAAAGATCGTGCGTGACCAAGAGAATTCTCACAGTTAATAAAAAAAATCGCCCATATGTCCGATTTCGAAACGGAAAGTAAAAATACCTACTTATCGGGTTATTAAAGGATTACACAAATAATAACTATAATTTATACCAACAATGAAAATAATAAATCATATAATCAAAAAGGGAACGTAAATTATTGATTCATTAAATAATAAGAGCAGCCGGTTTATTGGAAATCCATTAATTTTAAGTTTCGGCTCTGGGGTAATAGTGGTAGAATGCGAGGAAATTGATGTTTTTGAAAATTTAATTAATATGGTATCGAAACGTTTAATTTTAGCTTCGGCGTATTATTTACGAAAATTTTTAACGGATATTTATGTTGGGCAGATGAAAATAAATAGTGCAACATTAAATTCGAAATTATTAATGATACCATATTTCTAAGTAGAATTTCTATCCGGGCGTATTCCTGCATTTATCTTTCCCCGTGTAACGCTACGAAAGGGTGTGAAAAACAATAACCGGCAAGCATTTTAAGAGCAAAACGATAGAAGATGATAAATTCAAGTCCATATTTTGGATGTATATTTCGTAAAACACAAGGTTGGGGTAACAATAGACTCTATTTATTTGATAAATTACTTTGTTTTCACTTATTACTTTGCGTTAGGCGATGCTTTTGCTACGAATTTTCTTTGATAAATTTATCAAATGTCTGCTTTTGACGATATTAATTGCAAAAACAAAATTCACCGTAGCTCAGATTAATCTCCATACTAAATTATATGCACCGATATAGGATATGTTATATCTGCACACGTGTGAAGTAAATAATTTTTACTTCGCACTTTCTAAACAACTTGATTTTTCAAACTAACGATTATATACTAAGAATATAAGGTATACATAGAATAATACTTAAGTTTATTTATTCAAGTGGGGCTATTAAAGTCGGGCGCATAAATCGCGGTTAGTTTTATCTGTACGTTCATGTTAATCCATTCTTATATGGCATGTACCGTGGATTTAGTCGAGAACTTACCTAATTCCGCAAACTTGAGGTTTTAAAACCTCTAATCCGCCGTGTTTTACTTAAAATGTCTCTCTTCTCTCATACTTCACATACCGGCGCGTTTGCGACTTCATTTGCCTAAATTTACATCCGAGCCAGACGTGAATCTGTAAATACTGCTGTATGTACATTAGTTCCGATGTTAAACGGAAGTCCGAGGTGCTATATTTTATCCACACACAGGTTGTAGGTAATTTTAATTCAGTTTTAGTTGCTATTTCATGTTTAATATACAGTATGTAAGTTTTCTTTATGTTTGACCACACAAGAAATAAGATATGAAAACAGAAGGATATAAGAACATAATATGATTCTGGTTCATTAATTAATTTATTTATAATGAATGTATGATGAATTATTGTTTAAAAAAATGCTTTATGAAATTAGAATTACAATCCAGCAGTGAAGTTGAACAAAATCGAAATAGTTTTTTGAGTTTATAATTGAAGGTGCCGTATATAAAAAGCGCCACACAGCACAGAGAGAGCGCGTCCCCGAACTTGTACGCAATCCAAAAGTACTTGTTTAATAAATACTCCCGAGTACAATACAATAAAAACTATAGTTAAAATTGTTTTCGGTGGGAAAGTTTGCTGATTACATTAAATTTCCCTACATGGATTCCATAAAACGCAAACTTTGTAAATTAAAACTGTTTTATAATTCAACGATCTTTTTGTTTGCAGACGCGAGTTTTTATTTATTGTCGACGGCGTGGGTACGTTTTATTTTTGTTTTCAGGGACGAACGTTTGTTCAGGTCTAAATTATAGCCGCACAAAAGCAAAATCATTCCCTGCTGTTTATAAAAAAAATAAGTAATTAATATCGGAATGAATGAATGCGAATATTTTCCAAAAATTAATACAACTTGAAGTAGGATAAACTATAGTTTATACGCATATCGCATATGTTAGGTAAATTTAAAAACTATAGGTACATACCTAAAGTAGCTATGCATGCACATATGCATCAAAATTTGTCTTTAGTTTATGCATGTAAAAATTACAAATACTTCAATTCAATAAAAATTGTAAATTGGGCTAAAATCGGCAACATAATAAAAGCGTAAACAAAATATCGTTATTCTCTCTTATTTTTGTATGATTTTATCAATATTGCAGATATAAATTATTTTAATAATGACGGCACGTTTTATATTTTAAATAATTTAGCCAAATGAGCAAATTGATTTAACTTTAACAGTGAGAGAACGAATTATTATTATTATTATTTATTCCATTTTATTAAACAGACCATTTCCATTTATTATAATGCTAAAATTAAGAACACCATCAATCGAAAATTGATATTTAATTGCAGCCAAATTTTGAATTTCTATAATTATAATTACCAACTGCGAATGAATTAATTAAAATAAAAAACATTTTCAATCATTAAAATTTACCGATAATTATCGCCTCCCTTAAAAAACGTACATGCAGCCCATCTAGCAGTAAAAGTTCAAAGTTCAACTACATCCACATACAGAGCCACCTAACACCAAGTTACTGCATTACCGTATCAAGTACAGAACCCTTCAAAAGGGTGAAAAGCTTTATAAGGGAGGTGTAAAGGGTATACTTCTTTTTCACACTATAATAACACTCGGTAGGGTTGGTAAAAATTATAACTATGTATATATAGGCGAACGTTTTCACAGGCTGCAATATATTGCAACAATAAATAAAAAAAGTTGCAAAATAGTATTGCAGTTAAAATACAAGCGTTTACATGCATACGTTTAATTGCAGCGATTTTGTTTAATATTGCAAAATCGTGCAATATGTTCTATACATCATATCTACAGATATCGTACGATAAAATATTGCGACCACTGGAAACATATGCACATTAATTGGTGCAGTTTTTTACTTCATTTGGCATTGTTCCTCAAATATAGTACTTATTTATTTACTATATTTCATATCTAACGCTCTAAGAGCTTAACGACCCCATCAACCCCAAGAGTACCTTAAAGAAGACTTTCATTAGAAGACAGAAAAACTCTCCAGCACATTTTTTTTAATTAAATAAATAAGTTATATTAATTAAACAGTAATGTACTTCACAAGTTGGGGTTTTATCATTTGATCATCTTAATTTTAGCTCGAAATATAGTATAAATGAAAATAAAAATGTATACATTATGAAATTTGAAATAGTCAAAGTCAATATTCTATACTTTAATGGTTGAGTCAAACATATTAGTAGGTAATTACAGCAAATATCCCTTGTTAGATGTTGTAGGCAGCATTATATGCATGAGTACAATTAAAATTTTCATCATATTTTGTATAATATAAGTAGGTATATCTAGGTATTATCCTAGGCGACATTGGAAATTCGGGACCACGAAGGCCTTATCGGACACATTTCACTTTTCTTAATCTTCATTTTATTGCACAAAATCCATTCGACGGTTAACCCCCCCTATCAAAACTCAGCAACGAGGAAATCAGGAGTGGCAGGTTTCATATAATTTTAATTTAATATTCCCGAGGCGGTTTTGGTTTAAAATGATAATCCTGCCCTTCCAGGGTTCTTGCTCGGAAAAGGAAAGGAAGAGTGCGGAACAGCGGCGGCACCGAAAACTATCACAAGATCATTTATCACCACCATTGGCTTACAAAAAACAACTATTGTCGCAAAATGCTATCGTATAAATAGGGTCATTAAACATTTAATCTAATTTATTGGAGTTTTTAAAATTTTCTCTTACCGTTAGACCACCCTGTTTAACTAGTGAATCACGTAAGTGATTCGTAATTCTCGATTTTTCGAAAAACGTTTACATAATTTAAATTATTTTTTTTTTTCCTTATCTATAAGATTATCAAAGTCACGCGAAGATTAATTTTTATTGGAAAACACAAATAAAGAAAAGAGTACCCCACTTAAAAAAATCGAGTGAACTACACAAAAGTATGTAGGTATTCAAGTGGAAAAATAGACTTTGATTTTGATTTTATTGAATCATTTCAATTCAGTAAGATTACAATATCTATTTGTTTATAATTTAATAAACAGATAAGAAAAATAGAACGATTAAAGTATCTAACTAAAAATATATGTATCTAATATTATCTAAAATATGTTCTTCATTAAACCCCTTTAAAGTACTGTTCATTATCTATTACATTAAATTCTAAAGTAACCTATTAATCTATTATTTAGCACCTATATACTAAATATTTTAAATGAAATAAAATAGTAATAAGAAACCTGAGTGAACGGATCGACGCCAATGGCATAGTGGTCGTTGAATGG